AAAAAGTTAAAAATATTTGCAAACAGACAACAGCAAGACAAGCTTCATATAAAAAAGGACAAACAGAGGGAAACTCTCCAAAAGCTCAGTAGAGCATATTATCTTTATATATATAATGACTAAAGCAATAATTAAAATTGCAACGCTAAATGTAAAAGGACTCAATGATCTGATCAAAAGGCAAAAAACAATGATACTTCTAAAATCTTACAACTTGGACATAATATTTTTACAAGAAACAAATCTTAACAATCAAGCGATACAAACCTTCATAAAGAAATAATGGATCTATGACTCAATTTGGACAAGCAAAACAGCAATACTGGCTAGAAGGAAAGAAATTAAATTTTAGAATATAGAGATTTCACATAATGGAAGAGTTATCTCTACAAGCTTTTCGTATAAAAATTGATCTTTTTCAGTTACAAACCTCTATGCTCCCCCAAATATAAAGGACAGAATGAATTTTTTCGATAAGTGGTCTCCACATTATAAGGAGGATTCTATTAATATTCTGGCAAGAGATTTCAATACGAATCTTAACTCTGCTATAGATAGAATAAGTCAAGCTACATTTTAAAATTACAGTACTAGAATTCAACTTAAAAACTTGATAAAGAGCTACATAGACTTTGCTCTTTACACAGAACAGAAACCTTTTCTTATATTTCATCAAAAAGTTCAAAATAACCAAACAATGGCAACCAGACTTGATTACATCTTTATAGATAAGAATCACAAACACCTCATTTCATCAACAAAGTTACTTTTCGGCAACTCAGATCACCTTCTAATCGAGTGTATACTTACCGAAAAACAAAAGATTAAGCAACCCTCCTGCTGGAGATTTGATAAAAGTTCTTTCAAAAATGAACTTTTTTTTGAGACACAATCATAAAAAACTCTTTCCGGTTCACTTCCGGAAAAATACTCGAAATCAAAATTTTGCAAAGAAACAATAGAGGAGATCTTATCTTTCAAAGATATATCTGAATAGGATCTACAAAAAATATGTATTCAGTTAATCATAAGAGCTTTTAAGAAACCAAAAGCCTCAGAAAACAAGATTTTGAAAATTAACAAAAAAATTACAAAGATTCAAGAACTAATTGCTAATGATCTATCCAAATTCTCCTTATATGCTATCTGTGATGATCTTAGTTCTAGTATGCAGGAAGAGCTAACATCATTAGCAGATAGATGGCAAACTCGCTCAAAAGCAAGGTGGATAGAGCAAGGAGCAAAGTCTACAAAATACTTCTTTTCCTATTACAAATCTTGACATGCAAGTTCAGCTCTTTCAACAGTTAAAGAACCTAATAACTTAAACAAAAGTGAAAAAGAAGACACTCTAAAATACATTAAGAAACAATATAAAAAAATTTACAAAAGAGAAGAAACAGACCAGAATGTGATTAAGGAATTGACTAGCAATCTTATGCAAGTTTCAGAAGAACTGAACACATCTCTGGTTCGTCCTATTACCCATGAAGAAATTAGCCAAACAATAAAGCAACTTCCAAATAACAAATCATCAGGGATTGATGGTCTTACTTACGAGTTCTATAAGCTCACAGAGGAACAGATAGTTCCAATACTCGAAAAAATTTTTAACCAAGTTCTCACATTAGGAATGCTTCCAATATCTTGGTGCAAAAACATGATAATCCTAATTCCAAAGAAGTCAACAGACCTAAATAATCTAGATAACTGGAGGCTAATCTCACTAGTAAATTGTGATGCCAAAATCTTCATAAAAATTTTGGCAACAAGGCTAAATGAGGTCTGCAATTTTATAATCTCAGACCATCAACAGGAATTTATTACAGGAAGATCAATTGCAGATGAAGCATTAGACATTCTTACAGTTATGAAAAACCAAACAGATACTACTAAACAACACTAGATGCTTTTTGTTAACCAGAAAAAAGCCTTTGACAGAGTGGACCACACCTATCTACTAACTGTTTTAGAAAAGATGAACTTTGATATAAAATTTAGAAACATAATCAGAAATCTATTTTCTAATCAAGAAGCACACATTATGGAATCAGGCAGCATCTCAAGCCCCTTTAGAGTAGAAAGAGGAGTCCGTCAAGGAGATACTTTTTCTCCTCTCCTATATGTTATAGCTTTTGAACCCCTACTAAAAGCAATAA